TCCATTTCTCCCTTAGGTAGTCCTTAACCAGATGTCCTGTGGCTAGAAAATCACAGCAGCTTTGACGACATGCATAGAGACAGGCAAGTTTATTTATAAATGCACCATTTATTATTGAAAGTGTTTACCGAACTTTTTTTTTTTGCAGGCTCTCAATCCCAGCTGCTTAAGTTTTTGTTTAAGATGGGACATCCCTATGGGTGGTATCAAGCCGGAATACCTCATTTTCTCCATGCTGTTGCACTGCATGTGCCTGGACCACAGTTATGGAGTCTTCATCTCTAAATGCTGCTGAAATTTTGGCCTATAAAGGGTACTGAGATTTTTCAGGTCCTGTATTCAACATTTTCAGCTTTGTTCTGATGTGGGGTGTCTCTCCTTTTAATAAAGCTATTGCAACTTAAACTTGCTGGTTCTGCTTTACTTGTCTTACCATAAGGCACAGGTTTGAGTCTTAGTTCTTTACCTAGATGCAATGAGGAACCAAGACCTGAACAGTGCCATAAAAAAGTGCAGTCTTTAGGCCCGTTTGACTTTTCAGCCTTGTTCTGGTTTTTTTCCCCCTTCAATAAAGCCATTAGAACTCAAACTTTCTCAATGTTTTATTAAAGATAAAACACTGATTCAGTTCTTCAGTGTACTCCAAGCATGAGCCACACCTGGAAAAAAGATAATTAAGCCAATAGTTTTTACAAAAATTGTCCTAGTTGCTCTTACCTCAATGTCCTCATGAAGGGTTGACAGGACTGAGTTTTGCATTGTTCACAGGGAAGGACTCTTCCATCCAACAATGTCAAGATCTTGGATTGGAGGCAGTGGGAGAAAAATGCAATCAAATTAAGATGCAAGTGTTTAAGTTGACAAAACTTAAATTCTACAAGGTTGCCTATAGTCAAGTTGTCAACTTTGAATGACTGAAAAGCAGAGTTACTACTATAAAGTCTAATTTAGAGAATAGTTTAACCTACTGCTATAAAATTCAACACTGATATAGCCAAGTGCACAGAAGTTATCAAAGACAGGAATACCTGGATGTAGTCAGGTTTCTTTGCAGCATCAAGGAAGAACTCCAGAGCCATGGATGCCTTGTTTCCAGACATTTGGAGGATCAGGACCTGTGACGACAGAATTAACACAATCAGCTTATTCAAAGTTGCTTACAAGTTTATCCACAGTGAATACTATCAATTAGCTGTTTCACTTGAGAGAAATGGTCAATCACTGTGTTATGACAACGCTTGCCCTAAATAAACATTACAGATACAAAGTTTTTACTAAAGCAATACACAATTACATTGTGCTCCATGTTATAAAAATGAGAATTTTCATTACAAAGTTGACAAAGACTTTTGAAATCTGTCAGGAAAATCACAGAAACCTGTACAAACCAACAGTAACTACTTTTACTTTTGTTAATTTAGGCTCCCTACCTACTACTATAACAAAATAACCTTACTCAGTTCACATTATAATACCTTGTTTAACGCTCGTAGCAGTAAATACAAGGTTGGTGTAAAAGCAATATCCAGTCATTTAAACTGCAGAATAATTGTGGTTGAAAACAAAGCTTGACACCTGAGTGTCAGTTAATAGCAATGATTCAGAAGCACCCCTTGTAACCAAAGGGATGTTATGACTCTTCCTTAGTGCTGGAGTGTGTGTGTGTGTATGTGTGCACTGAATATTGATGTGTAGATTCCTTCTTACACCTGTAGGTGCAGGGCCTTACTAAGCACACATTTCAAGCACTGTCTGTACAGGAGACATTTTTAGAAATGTCCTTTTACAACTTCTTTCTTGTCAGTTACTGTATATTACAATTATAAAATATTGCCAGTTATTGTAAAATGAAATCAGTTATTGTAAAGTGAACATCACCAAAACTATTAATAATAAAGAGTAGACAAGCTGTTGTTGGATTTCTGGGTTTTCCTGGTTCAAATTAAGGCATAACTCTGTTAAGTAAAATATTAAGTTTTACTATGGAAATGTAATCATCACATGGTCACGAATGTCCTGCAGTGTGGCAGGGCATATCATCCTGCTGACAGAGGCCATTGCCATTAGAAAATACTGTTGCCATGGAGGGGTGTAATTGGTCTGCAACAATGTTTAGGTAGGTGGTTTGTGTCAAAGTAACACCCACGTGAATGCCAGGATGAAGGTTCCCCTCAGAACATCACCCAGAGCTTCACACTGTCGCCGCTGCTCATTATCTTCCTGGTGCCATATCTACTCCATGCACCTGGCCTTCCTCATGATGTAAACAAAAACATGATCAGACCGGACCACCTTCTTCTATTGCTTCATGGTCCAGTTCTGATGCTCATGTGCCCATTGTAGACACTTTTGGCGTGGGATAGGGGTCAACGTGGTCACACTGACCAGTCTGCAACAATGTGATCTAACAGCCATAGCCACTAGTGCAGAGGGCCCTGAGGTAAACCAAAGGACCCCCCATAAAACTTCAATTTAGAGAAGAGTAGTGGTTTTCAACCAGTGGTCCACAGCCCCCTGGTGGTCCAAGGAGGCATTGCAAGTAGTCCCTGACCATGCATTCAATAATGTAGTTTGACTGAAGGAATGTTTTTTATTTTATTTTTTAAACATATTTACATGTACTACTTATTGTTTGTGAATAATCTAATTCATGCAAATATACAGTATGGAAAGTATTCAGACCCTTTTAAATTGCATACATTTTGTTATGTTTCAGATTCATCTTAAAATGGATTCATTTTCATTTTTGGCTTTGCGCCAACGCTCCCAATCCAACCTGGGTGACTTTGAACGATTCTGCCAAGAAGAATAAAAGAAAATTCCAAAAGACAGGGGCCAATCTTCCAGCTTTGTTCTTGAGAAAACTTGAGGCTATCATTACTGCCAAATGTGCTTTAACCAAGTATTAAGTGAAGGGTCTGACGACGTATGTAAATGGGATATGTTAGACTTTTATTTTTAATGCATTTTCAAAACACTCCAAAAACCTCTTTTCACTTTATCACTGTGGAGTAGTGTGTTTATGCTGATGGAAAAAAATGAATTGACTCCGTTTTAAGATGAGTCTGAAACATAACAAAATGTGGAAAACTTAATAATCTCCTTTATTTGGCGAAGTATGTTACACACAAGGAATTTCTTTCTGGTACACAACCGAGGCAGCCATCTGTGGCGCCAACACACCGATGGCTCTAACCATCGGGGGTAACTTGGGGGTTCGGTGTCTTGCCCAAGGACACTTCGACATGTGGACTGCAGGCACCGTGGTTTGAACTTCCAACCCCCCCTGGTTGGGAGCCAACCACAGTCATTAGCTTATTTATGTAGGCAATTTATGTAAAAAATCAGAATTTTAAAAACCTGTTACTCTAACTTAGAATAAGTCAACAAAAGTAAAAGATGTTCTCTCAGATTTATCTTTCCAGCCACTGCTGTATGATCAGGTCAACCAAAGATTCTTTTCTCTCTCTTATTTAGGTAGTTTTCAGAGAAATAAAGGTGTCCAGTTATTCCCATGAAAAAATCTAAGACTAAAGGCTAAGTCTGGCAAGCCTTCAGATTTATAACAACTACTTTAGAGGATGAATAAGAGCATGTTCTGTGTGTACATTTACTGCAGAAGAAGTCTTACTGTCATCGTCTTCCCTCCAGCTCCCCTGCATGTCGTACTCCTGTTCCAGGGTCGGTGGCTCTGAGGGGGTCAGATGCTCCAGCTCAGGACACTTCATCCATTCATGATACCTGAAGAGTGTAAACAGGTGAATAGGAGACAGGGACTGCAGGTTTCTACAGCTTTAACTTGATCATGTATCCAGATGCCAAAGGACTGGAGCTGGTTCTGCTGCATCAGTTAAAGAGACTTCAAACTGTCAAAGGATCAAAAGCTTGTATTGACAGCTGGGTCAGATGTGTCACCTGTCCTAAGTTATTTCTTCACCTTGTGCCAACATGGACAAAAAGCTTTCAAATGCTCCATGACAAATGAGATGAAAGCTCCAGAAAACCTACTACATGGAACTTGTGATGAGATTTTCTCAACATTATTATTAGTTGCAGACTTATTTACAAAATAGTCAAAGTCAAAATAAAACCCATCCGCCATGTTTAAACACTGATAGTAAAGAAATGACATTCAAACACTCATCACTAAAGATATCAGCAGAGGAAAATAAAAGAACAAAGTGACAGGCTTCTCTGATCAGGTGTTAATGTTAACGTTACCTGGTCACGTGGTTTGCATTGTAAGGAACCAACACAACTTTGTGTCCCTCCAGTACAGTGTTCCTGTTTATCTTCATGGTGCCAAACCAGACACAAACACCAATAGGACCGATTATAACAATAAACATATTAACATATTATCCCAGCTTGATACCGAATCACTAGATGGATACCATTCTTCCTACGAATGTATAAAGGGGAAAAGGTAGGAAATTTTTCCATGTCTGTATTGTGGGAACGTTTTTCTTAACATTAATACATTCATTTATTCTATTTATTTTCGCCACTGAATGTTGCGCGCCTGGCGCACGCGGCGAATTTGTTTTACTTCCGGGGTTGCTTCCGCGTTCTGGGTCCACTGCACATGCGCACTAGGGGGCGGTGGGTTGATGGAAATCATCTTCCTCCTAAGGGGCGTTTTCCAATATTCGCAGGTCTCTGTACTTGTGCTCTTGCTGACTTGTAAAACTTCATCAGTAACAGCCCAAGTATTCTTCAAATCATAATGTATTTTTTATTCATATTCACACACACGGTCAATTAGGCATCTTTCTCATATCAGTTTTAAGTCCAAGATCAGAGCAGTAAGAAAACATTACAGCAAAAATAAAATAAAATGTCAAACCTGTTGTAAATGGGGTTCAAGCAATCTGTACAATCTTACTCCATGTTTGCTCTCTACTAAATTTATGGATTTGGTATACAGTATCGGTTCATTTAAAAAAAAAAAGGCAGAAAATGTGGGGGTGCATTTGAAAAATCTGCATTTGTGAAGATGCTGTTGAGTCAAAATCAATACATTTTTGTATAAGAAATGCTCATTTTTATCATCTAAACAAAAACTAAACTTCACAGCCTTAAAGGAAGTATCTGGAACACAATCTTGTCCCTTTGCAAGCCAGTCATATATGTCCTTCAGAAGTTAGTTACATAAATACAGTCAAACAATAAATGCTCAATTGTTTCTATGTCATTTTTGCAAAATGCACAAACATTACAATGTATATGAAAGTGTGTATGAAGAGGTTCACTGCAGGGGTAAATTTTGTTTAAAATTTTGAAATGTACTTCCTTAGCTTTAGCTGATACTGGAAACTTTGAAGATAACTCTGTTCTGATTTCCTTTACATCCTGTCAAGAGCTCTTTTCCAGGATATGTCATCTTGATAAAGTTGCTGAATATAATTATGTCTTCACTGCCCCTTTAATAATTTTGTTATTTAACTTCTTATCAACAAATTTGTGGTTGTCTATAATTAGAAGTGGGAGTGTAGTTGTATGTTCCGAGCAGGCTAAGGAGCCTTTCATCAAATTAATTACAGCGGTAGGAATAGCCTTTATCACAGATGTAAAATGTTTACTTGAGCAGCTCAAATAATATTTTTGAATAAATCTTTCATATCCTAAAAAGAGCTATCCACATCCTCCAAATCAAGACGTGACCAGATACCCTTTTGTTTCCACTCATCATTGTATAAAGACTTGCCATTTTCTGTACCATATCTGTTGTTCAATGTGGAGTGTGGAGTAAAATTATGTACAGTACATACACAAGCTTCCAATATTGCACAGCTTGATGATGAAGGGAGGACAGTTTGATAGGTAACTTAATTATTTGAAAATCATGTTAAAAGAAAATTGATACCACCAAGTTTTTAAAAAATCATTTTAGAAATGTAAAACTAGTAATTTTGTTCATTCAATAAGAATGTTTTAAATCATTTAAGTTTTAAAACAGCATTCACTGATTCAAAGTCGACAACATTCATTTCACACTCTTCCACAGATTTAGTAATGTCCCCTTTTTCAAATATAATGTTTGCTTTTCCAAATAAAATTAAACATGACATCATCTATCTCTGTGATCAGACTTTTTGGAATTGCCAATGAAGAGGCAGGATAATTTAGATGAGAAGGCCCTTCAGTTTTGGATAATAAAATTGTTCCAAATATAGAAATGTTCATTGATAGCCATCATTTAAATGAGGAATGCGTTTTTCTAAATTCTTGATGATGTGTAACTTATTCAAATTGTTTACCTCTTCGGTCATTATTATGCCTTTACCTTTATATTGCACAAAGATGAAAAGGGGGGACTGTGCATGGCCATCAGTACACATTTCTGTACATCCAACTTTAAGATGGAAGCCTTACAAAATATTTCTATTAAATTAAGGATTCATGGAAGTTGTTCTGTATTTTTTATGAAGAAGGTGGTATCATCTGCCAGTTAACTTATCATTTCTTTAACCAGAAATACAAAATGTTTCATATCTTTGCTATTGTTAATTAATATAGATAACATTCCTGCCACCATGAGAAACAGCAAGGGAGAGCAGGGACAGCCCTGATGTATCCTCTGATTACCGTTTGTGACCACAGTGGGCACTGTTCCTTATGCCAAATAATGACTCAATACATTCCAATTAGATTTTTTACTTAAAAAAAGATCAAAATAAAGATGCACAACTGATCCAAAATAAGATGCCATTGTACACACTTACACATTTCAGCTCTAAAGAGCAATGGCAGGACAGAAAGGCTTCCCCTGAAATATTTCAGCTGGTTTTACTATGCTGCAGACTTCTTTCATCCAGCCACAGCAAGTGTAAGGGAATGAACAGGATGAGAAGCTGATATAAACAAAAACATTTAGCAGCACCGTTGCTGGCTGCTGTTGCTGAAGAAGTGATGATTTGTTTCCTATTGCAGATTGTCCTTCCATTTCCAAAAGAGATGAGGACACTTCACTCAGTGAGACTGGAGCAAAGACACTTCTGCTACAGTGTATCCAGCCTCCTCAGAGGATCCACAGTGTTTCAATCATGAAGGGCTCTGATCATTGTTCAGCACACACACAGGCTTCATCAGCCTCACTGGAAATATCATAGACACTTCAAATAACATAGTGAGAAAGGAGAAGTAGCATTTTGCAAATTCGCATCATCATTTCGACTCATCTCCCAACACATAATGGATTAAAAGACCTACACAGAGTACTTAACTGTTGACATTTAAAATCAGGAGACAGTTTTTAATTTCTCAGTACAAAAAATAGATCAAAGACTGAAAAAAATAGTTATATTCTGACAGCAGAAACTTGATTTATAAAGCTCTACTCGTGAGCAACTCTGGGTCTACGTCTGCACAGTGAGGGCTGTGGTTTAAGGATTGGGAGTGGAACTAGTTAACATTCACTGTTGAATATATTTATGAATTTGTATGAAACAGGTATCAGAATATTTGGGCAGTTGATACCTCTTCACATTTAGAGTTTGAATGTTCCTATATAATACAGTTCAACACATACATTTCAACACTGCCTTCCCGCCTTCAAGTGGCATCTTTTTCATTATTGTGATGAAGGATGATTTACAAAAAAGAATTGTCTGTCCACTACAGTACCTGCTTTGTACATCTGTTTAGAAAGCAAGCATGTTACACAGTCATCCCTATGTACAGCTAGAATCAGCATTTGTTTTTCACAGAATATACATATTTACTTATTTTCACAGTTTCCTATGTCTGCGCATATATCAGTAGATTTAATTGTTGCCTTTCTGAATACAAATCATTTCCCTATCTTCACGGCTCTGGGCTACAACTGTCCCAGTGTCCACTTGTTGATATCTTGTGAGGTTTTTTTCTCTTGAATACTGCTTGTGTGTGTGTAGCAAATACTGCTCAGTTTGAAAACAACCTTGAGTGTGGTTCAGTTTTTGCCAATTCATAGCAATCCAAAAAAAAAAAAAGCAGTTTTGAGTTTCAAGTTTACTGTTTTCTGGTCTTCATCTTTATCGTGATATTTTTTATGTTCTTACTCACTCCGTCACTGGAGTTGTAAAGAAGGCTGAACAGCTCCGGTGGATTCCCTCTGATTCAAGCATTGAGCCACAACAAACCTGTACCAGTGGATTTGTGGTTTGCTGCTCTGTTGGTCCTCTCTCGCCCACTGGAGGTGACCAGTTATGTGCGTGAATTCTTTTTCCTGTTGTTAGTCTCTGGTTGTTTTGTGGGTGGTGTGATTATTGTTTCATTTTCTGTTATTGGAATAAGGCACTTGAGAGGTTTTTGGTTTTCACGGGAGCTCAGAGGAGACCAGGGCGAGGCCAGAGCTCTGGCGGAGGGGGGGGCCGGCATGAACAGCCTTGGGACAGTCGGGCGTCAGCACCCGTCCATTCTCCCCGACGCTGCCTGTGATGGACAGACGGGCCTTGTTCCTCATGGCTTCTGTAAATGTTAGCTGAGAAGAAAAATAAAGGAGAGGTTTGTGCACAAAGCAGGTGAAAAGGAGACCTGAGCAGTTGCAGATTGGAGTTTTAGACTCGTATCAACGGTGTAGATATTACTCTCAGCTGAGACACCTGACAAAGCTACTGGCCAGAAACTTTTTTTGTAAGAGATCATTAAACAAACACAAGAAATAAGAGAAAGAAACTTTAGCCACTAACTAGAACAGTCTGTAATATGTTATGTTCGTTAGCCTTGCTAAACTTCCAAATGTATTTGTATTTTGACCAGCATTGTGCTATTGCCATTCAGATTTGTCAGTTCAATAGCTACATTATTTCTGGTAATAAAACTCCAATTTGCTTCAATATTATCTCTATAAACAACAGGCAGAGAACAGCCTCACAATACAGTACAGTTGGACATTTAAATATACACTCACCGGCCACTTTATTGGGTACACCTGTACAATTGTGTGTAATTCAATGCAACACTTCTGCCTTAACATCTGTTAAGTACATTATACAGACATTATATCCAGGGGTGTCTCTATATTTTTGTCCTCCCTAATACACCCACAACAGGGTCAGAATATTAGGAACACCTCTGAATATACTGTAGCCCAGTACAACACCACCTTTAACTATGAGTCATAGTTATTATTATTTTATTATATTATATTATTATTATTTTGCAGTATTTCTGTTTCCTGTGTCTCACTTCAGGGGCCGCATCAAGCCGCACTGCGCAGACGCAGGCAACGTCAAAAAGATGGGGAGAAATGTGGCCACAAAATCACACAAAATGTGTATTGAATGTATTGTTGAGTCTATAAGGTAACAATAATATAATAAGATAACCTTGTTTGAAATGGGTCTGGCTAAAAGAAACTTTTGGTTTCCTCTATACTACTAGGTACTTATACTATATTGACTGGGTTAAATAGAATTGCATTACTAAAAAGAGACTAAAATGCAATTTTCATTGACTAAAACTAGACTAAATGTCATCAGTTTTTGTCGATTAAAACTAGACTAGACTAAAAATAGTATGAATGTGACTAAAACTAATAAAAACTAAAATGACAGCTTCACACAAAGACTAGACTAAAACTAAAATTAAAACAGGCCGCCAAAAACAACTATAACTATGACCTCAATAATAAACATGTAATTGATTTTATACATTGATGCATTTCACCAAAAACTGAAACATTCTGATCTTTAAAAACACCGATGTTAAGGTGGAAGTACTACACACTGAATTACACACAATTGTACAGGTGGACCTAATAAAGTGGCCAGTGAGTGTATACATATACATATACATACATATATATATATATATACAGTAGTGTAGCCACCACAGTTAGAAAACACCTTTCATAACCATACAGTGCAGTGTCAAGCCAGCCCCATACTACATGTAAATCCATTATTACACAGTGAGTGATAGTTGCAGGCAGTGGGACAGGGGAGCTGACTAAGCAACAGTCAAGCTAATGAAGAGTTTGAGTTGAAGTGCTGATGGGGGACACATAACCATGTTGGACAGATATACACCAAGTGAAAAAAGATATATGAAAGTCTAATGGTCAAGAACCTGGGGGAAATATCCGGAGAAAACATCGATAAAACTCTGCTCAGTTCCAGGGACACATCAACTTATGTTTACGTTAGTCTGATAATGGAAAGAGGTAAAATATGGTTTTATATAGGGCACACTGTGGTTTCTCATTAAATGTCTCTTGTTATACTTTGATAGTTTACTGTAACTGGCGGACCTGAGAGAGTAGTATTTCTGAGCTACAACATGTGCTATTCAGGCTCAAGTGTGTGTATGGCTATTAAGATCTGTTGATGGTTCGCTATGAGAAAACAAGGTGCTTCTAACTTCAGGGAGTTAGTCTACACATTAGCTGGATGAATGTTTGCAATTTGATGAAAGATCCTCACAAGTATAGACATGTGTACAAGAAAGACATTGGTCCTCATTTATCATGCCTTTCGACACGCCACAAGTCCAGGAGAAAAGCAGTGGCACCACAACTGAAGAGTAACATTTTGTCAAATTTAATAGCAGCACTGTGACTTCTGATAAACCATTCTGCTATTCTAAGACTGTTCCTATGTTCTATGCCAATGAAACTAACCTCATTAACTCAAAAACATAAAAATTTATAATCAGAAATATCATTTTCATAAGGGAGAACTATCATGGCATTTTTTTTATGCATTTCCAAAATGATTGAATTTATTTGAAAATCAGACATGAATAGTATCTTCCCACCGAGTTCAGAATGAGTGATACATTTTTGATTTTGGAAAATGAGGGACACACACATATGCCCGCTTGATAAATGAGGGCCATTGGCTGCAGCCACACAAGCTGCAAAGCAGTAGAGGTGACATCATGTCTGAGGATGACTCATTGCTTCCTGTCACATTGAGAAGAAGCTTCAACGCAGACCAGGACGTCACATGACCACATAGTGAGCAGATAAGAAGCATTTTGCCACTGGTCACGACAGTCACTCAGCACGGCAAAGCTAGCACGGGGATATATATGGATTTCACTTACAGTCTCTGTGCAGGGAGCTAGTGGGGGGTGGCAAAGGCTTGGGTGGACCTTCTATGAAAACCCCAACTACATCTTATCAGCTTCCCCATCGCTGCCATACCCTGTGAAACCTTCACTAAATTCGACTACGTTGCGGATGCTGGGGCTGAGTCTTGGACTCTGGCTTTGGCTCTGGCTAGGCTCTGGGCTCTGGCGGGGGCTGGCTGTCTGGCAGGGGTAGCAGTGGTGGTGGGGATGGTGGTAATGGGGGTGTTGGAACTGGGATTGGGACTGGGCCTCCACCTTCATTCTCTTAGCCTCGTTGCGTGACTTGTAGCAGAATTCGATGAGGGCCACCAGCATGGCCAGGCCCAGGCCCCCGACAAGGATGTAGAAGACCCCTGCCACATTGCTCAAGCTGAGGGCCTGGGATGACTTGTCCTGTAGTCAGCAGGGACAGGAACATACACAAAAGTCAACACTATTTTTAGCAGAGGCAGCATAAAGTACACAGAGTCACTCAAGGTGTACAATATATATAAATCTCACACCACCTTCACGACATGCATGCACAAACACAACCGATCACACTCGCACACACTTCACTATTCACTACACAACCTCTGACCTCTCGGTCTACTGTTGCATAGCTGTATGTAGCCATGCTAGCAAAAATAATTTATTATTTTCTAAACCTGCCTCGCCCTTTCACGCATGGTTCCCACATTTGTGAACTGTTCATTTAACTCCACTTTGGGTTAGATTATCGTGATAGAGTTGTAAATGTAAATGTAAACTTTGTACCTCAAAATCAACTGTCCACATAAGTAGATGTCATGCAACAATGGACCAAGTCTTGGTTCGGTAAACTGCTATTATATCTATTGTATTGTATTTAAAGATTATTAATATTAACTTATATGATAATTAAACATGCAAATATATTAACAACAGTGTTGATAGAGAATATCACATCACTGCAAATTAAAACTTTAAACTCCAACTTTACATATGCATGCAGAGACAAGTTGTATTTTGATTTGACATGACTTGAGAATGAGCTAAAAAAAAGTGACAAATCTTTTTTTTTCCAACAGCAGCAGATGCGTTCTCATGTTTACTAAACTATTTTCTCAAACATTTAATCACATTTCTTAATCAAGTTTTTCCTCTCTGGTGTTTCTAAAATGGGTTTGTAATTTTTTTTTTTAATTCATCTTATATGCAGAACATAACCTAAACCATTATTCTTTGTCAGCTGTGGCTTCATACCTCTTTTACTCCATTATCGTATGGCATCCACATGTGTGGAGAGTTTTGCACAAAAACAAATTTTGTAAAAAAAAAAAAAAAACAACAACAACAAAACACACACACACACACACGCACACACACACACACACACACACACAAACAAACAAACTAAAACAGGATTTCAATTTTAGCACAATTTTGAATAATAAAAATAATCTTAAAAATCTTGATCATATTTCTCATAATCCATACATGAAAGGGCTAGAATATATCAGAAAGCAATATAGAGAAGTCAGTTATCTTTCTGCATTAAAGGATCAGTTCAACCAAATTACAAAAAAAGGTTATGTTCTCACCTCAGTGCTATGAGACATGCAGACAGTTTTGGTTTAGTCTAGTCTGGGTTTTGCTATATGCACCTTTGAATTTTTTGCCTCCACCCCATTAAAACAGAAGTAGAAGAAATTTGGTGCTCTTAGCACAGAAAAATATACCACCCACTATTCTTTCCAGAAACAATGCCCCAAAATACATTGCGGACAGTTTTCATCTGACAGAACACTGAGACCATTAAGCTGGCGTCCCTCCAAATGTGGCACAAATTTTAACCAAATTTCATGAAAATCCACAAAACACAGTGCAAGTTGTAACATGTTTGCAGCCACTACTGTTAATTTTGGTAGCTGGTTCATTGAGATAAACAGCAGGTGGCACTAATTTCCCAGCAAGGAGCCATATAAAAGTGTTACAGAAGAAGAGGGCACAACAAGATGACGTAATTGCAAAATCACCAGTCACACATCAAATGATTAAAAAAATGCAGACAGTGGAAATGTGGCATTTCTGTTTGCTTCATGTGTTGCTGTGAGGGATGTTACAGAATACTGAGGAATATATTAAGTTTGTATGAAAAAATGTAAACATAAAAACAGGTGCTGGCTAGTAGCAGGCCGTCTTTGGTATTCAAATCTCTAAATCAGCCTCGGACATCTCTTACACTGTGATCCGAGACCACTGTTTTGATCGCTGACCAAAGATTTACCCACATTTCAAAATCACAGTGTAAACAGGATTTAAACCACTTTCAAACATACAGAAAGTTCCTATGAAAACTGCTAAAAATATGTTTTGTGAGTTATCCAAAGCAACAAGGGCCCTGTTCCTGAAAGAGATGTTCCTGTTACAAATTCATTTCAAAACAGTCTGCATGGCTTGATATGGCTAGAGTTAAAAGAAGAAATATGTTTTTGTATTTTGGATAAACCAGCCCTTTAATTTTCTTTCAGACTGTGACAGGCTGCTCTGCCTCCCAGTTCTGATGTTCATCTTTTAAAGCCCTTTTATGTAAATGGATGCAGCCGATCTTTCTGACCGCTGACTCCTGTTCCTCCTTCGCAGTTATCTCCCTCAGATAAATCACCTACATCCTTAAAGGGCACTCAGCTCATGACCTCTACACAAATAACTGTCAGTCATGCTCATTTGCAGGACACAGCGTGTGTCCTGCACTTAATGATCTGATTAGGAGGACATGACTGATGAGGAGGACACATGCTGCTTTGTTTAAAATGTGGCAGCCCTCTCCATGCTCCAGTGCATCGACAACGTGAATCAGTCTTCAGTGTGCTACTACACCTGACACATACAGTAGAACTGACACCTAATATGACATACAGGAACATGCCCCGGGACCATTTTATGTGAGGGTAAGCCTTTATCTGCAGTTGCAACACATAGCTTAGCTGCTGTAAAACTGATAGCGCTGTGCCATGCCTTGTTTCTGTCATGCTGTATCCCTCAGGCTATGCCTTAAGTCTCTACCTGCATGTCTGTCACTCCTTCTTTCCCAGAGTATTATGTGTGTGCATCATATCAGCCAGCCTGCTGTAATAACAGAACAGTACTGCCAGCGTTATAAGAGTGTGTACAGAGACAAAGGGAGGAGAGGAGGCCCCTGGGCTGGTGGAGACTGACCTTACTTCCCGAGTCCTTGGGTCCACACTCCCCTTTATCGTACCACCATTTGTTTTTCAGTTTGTCTAAGACTCCTGCTTCACTCAGTTTCAATACGGCAAGGTTTACGGGCGTTCTTCAAATCATGGGGGACGGGGAAGGGTGGGGTGGGGAAAATAACATAAATAACATCATAGGACATGTTATTTTATGTTATTCAATCAGAAGAAGCCCAACAAGAGCAGCTCAGTACTCTTCACAAAGTGACACAGCCAGGACTGTTACATGTCTCTTTGCTCATTGGTCAAGATAATTCTTAGCAGGGCTGGGTTGGTAGATCTTAAGGGGAAGGGTCAGAGCTAACAGACATATATACACAGGGGCCCAGCTGCATCGCTTTTCTGGAACAGGTACATACTGCCGGGACCTTTTTTATTTTTACAAGTATGGAGGCATGTACTGTCAACCCAAAACTACTGCTTACACCCAAAAAGGCACTATCATATTCCATACTTATTTTAAGCAGGGTACTAATACAGTTAAAGGCCATAGAACTACACAGTCACTGCATATTATGAATTAGCATTATAGCAACAATTTTAAATTCAAAAGTAATGCTTTCCTTTCTCAGGATTAAAACCTGTTGTTTTCTAGCTCCTTCATGGGGATTGACCCGGCAGATGCCCCTGTTACCAACAAAACACATTTCCTTTTTACCCGCATCAAGGTCACATGGGCATAGCGACATAACAGCTAACCTTCTCGCCACCGCCTCCGCTGCCACACTCTCCTTTGTCGTACCACCACTTGTTTTTCAATTTGTCCAACACGCCTTGCTCATTGAGTTTTAACACTGCCAGGTTAACTGCACTTCTTGAAAACAATAAAAACATGTTTGGTGAGAGGGGTCAGTATGCTGTCCAATTTGGGAGGGAAGGAAGAGAAGGGGGGAGGAAAGGGGAGGAGTAGCAGTAAAAGAGGGACAAAGGTGGAAAAGGTGTTAATGCTCCAAACGATTACATCCCAACCCAGCACCCAAACACACACTGAACACAAATCTCTCCTCATGTGTTGTTTTAAGTATATACAATATTTCTAAATAAAAAAATATCATGTCAGTTAATGTTGTCCATGTCTAAAAGAAGGGGAAATATGCAAATGTGGTTATTTTTATGTATGCAGCTACCACATGTATATATAATTTCTTGGTATCCTTGGGATGCTCATTTTAAAAGCTAGAGACTTTAAAAAGTCTCTGGAGACAGTGTTTTCAGCCACTTTATCTTCAGCTTACTTTACCTACAACTGATAAATTCTTCTTTCAAAAGTCATGACATAATTAATAAGATACTGAAGAAAAACATATCTCTACATAAACTATATTCATTTTCTCACATCCTCAGCTATATCAACAGTGTCTTTTTAAAAAGCCAATGGTACTCAATATGTTTCAGTTTTTCAGCTTTAGGTTTCAAAAAACTACTCAGATTTACCAACCAGAATAAATGTTTGATTTGTCTCATTGTTGCCTCAGTTTTACCAATCAGTAGTGATGTCCAAATGAAGCAATGAACTAGTACTGAACCACTTCATCAATTCTATCGAACATCGGTTCATTCATTCAAAGGTTCGTTTCAGTGACATCTAGTAGCGAAATAGGAGACAGCAAAACAATGTCTGAATTAAGTGAATGCTCCATGATGGTGATCAAGCAAAGGCAACAATGATAAGGACAGCAACTACGCACACACCTACTACGACGACAAAACCCACGTGTTGTGCATCATTCTGGGTGGCTATATAGTGTTTTACGCCTACAAACCTGCTGACGCGCACAGCAAGGTCTGGCGTTATGAAGCAATATCGAATGTTTGAACCAGTCACAAGATTCACTCAGGGGGCCGAAGCAGTTTCTGCTTCGGAAGTCATCGGCCACGTGTCTTTTTCCGTAACTGAGCAAGCATGGAAGCGATGGTTTGCGGAATATGCCTCTTTTGAAGCTTGCAGCTTCAAAAGCTGAGTATCGGTGTCAGATGGTCATCACTACCAATCAGCAGTACTTTGGTTTACTTCACTGGTTTGCCTGAAACCTAACAGCAATGGCTGGCAGACACTGGTCTTATGAAGCCAGTAGCCTGAATTGATTTTTATGGTTTCTACACATGTATGTATACATCTTGTATTGCTACTATCATTACAAATGGAAGAAATGTTCTGTTTTGAATGAAAAGCTATTTTTCTACTCCAACATGGATAAAAATATAGGAAACACAATTAACTGGCTCAGAAATAGCCTGTTTTAAAACATTAAATGTTGGCAACCAGTGTAGTTGGTGCTTTGAGAATCAAACACTTCCTGACAATTTGGCTGTTTTACATGTGTATATACTGTATGTATGTCAGCCAATTCAAAAGTCATGGGATTTCTGAGCATCAAGCTGTTCTGGAAAAATCATGATTGACTTGCATAAAATGTCTGTGAAAAGCTTATTAAAATTAATGTGCATGATAATTTTTTGTTCTTCAGAAGGCTGCTTGAGTGATATCTAATGATAGTGAGATTTGTTTCAGCATGCATTTGGATGCTTTTAATGTATTTGTATCATTCTATCAAATAAAACAGTCTATAATGGAGATGCATCATGAACACAAAGCAACAGCTGATATCTTACATTTAAGTTAATGATTGTGTTTGTAGAGCCATGTGAAATAACAGCCTTGACCAACAGTGTTGCCTAATCATGATGTTGCTGATTTCCAGACAAGTGACTGACAGAAGACGATAATCCCCAAAACGGCAAGATGGAGGCTCGAAGGAGGAGACTACCGCAATCTGTCAGGGGCTCTTCCTGGTCAAAGCAGTGGCTGAAACCTGGCACCAGTCTGGCTGCAAAATAAACCAGTAGCTGCTCTGCTTGACTTCATGGGCAGAGGAATTTACAGAAAACGTGTAATAAGGTTTTGATTTATTGGCTGTGAGGAGTTGGCTGCTTTCATAACAAATTACTTTCCTGGTACCTTTTCAGAAGAAATAAAAAAAAAAATCCTTAATGCGTGCCTATTGTTTTTAATGCACTCTAATTACATATGATTAATGACAGCATTGTTCCAATATTATCTACTTATACAGTGCATTCAGAGTTCTCCCTGGCATTTTTAACGTGTATTGTGCAATGTTCTTGGGCCTCCACAAGAATAAATGAAAAGTGCAGGCAGTCATGGTTCTCTACTGGTTCTCACACATGTACACACACCTGTGCCGTTTTGCCTTTAGTATATTTATCTACTCCCCCAGTGAAACCTCGCCGGCAGGCTTTGATCAATGAGTGTGCGGATTGAAAGTGCAACTCCCCACAATAATGACACTGTATTCTCTGGCAGGTCTGTAAATTCCACTATGTGTTGGAGGCAGTGACAGAGTCTGGCAGAGTTACCCAGGGCTGATCATTCAAATGGCTCCCAAAACACTTTCAGTCACATAGTGGAAAAGAAAGCACTAGTCAACTGTGAAAGAAATCTGAAGTAATATTAGATAGATATCTCAAACTAATTGCATAAAAATGCAGAGCATCCTAAATTTTTCTAAAAACTTCAGAGGAGTTAGGTTTACTAGAGGCTCAAGCATGCTGTTCCAAACAAAGCACAAGCACAAAGGTTTACCTGGTGGGGAGAGCTGTAGAGGAAAAACAAATTAAATAAAAACCACCCTGTCATCACAGTGACGCCCACATGCATGAACAGGCACAGATGTCAAAAAGCCACTATTTCTGCCCAAAAAACAAACGAGTAAAACGCCCCACACCAAGCAGTAAGTGGAGACAGATATAGAAAAGGCGGCACACCAGGGAAGGTGGAATACCATAACAACACGTAGAACATATTGTTACACTATTCCACCCACCTTAACTGTGAACCCTTGGGTGTGGCTATTCCGTAGCCTTTGGAGTCCAAGTTGCCTCCCACTTTCATTGTGTCGCAGGGCTTGCGTTGCTCTGTGTACTCATTCATAGTGGACTCCAGGAGGAAGGCGTATTTCCCCTTGGACTTGCGGACCCGCGCTACCCCCTCATTCGTGGTCTTGGTGAAGACTTTGGGCTCAGCCTTTTCCATGTACTTCCACATCTTCTCGTAGACGGCGATCTTTGACCGCTGTGGGGTTTTAAAGGGGGTTGGAGTTTCAAAGGTAGATGTGGCGTGAGAGTTGTGAAAGACAGAGAAACCACTTCTGCATACAACACCAGGTAGAGAAAACATAGAGGAACATCAAGTTTTACCATTATCTTTACTAAAACCAAGGAACAATATGAGCAATCATCTATTAACTACCACTGCAGGTCTTCATGTCTACTGAGATAAATTTGTCATGTTGTGGATGCAGCCACACTATTTTCCAACACTGCCTTTGTACAGATAAAATTTGTTGTAAGTAACCAACATAAATTGGGACAACTGTAGGAATTGTTCACATCAGTACTTCCACTGCTGCAGAAAATATGTAAGTTTACAATTTACAGGTTTTGGTGACTTTTTTTAGGGGCAGTACAAACCTGTACAGCTGCCTTCGTTTTAAAAAACGTTGCCACTGAAAATGTTTCCTCCAAAACGTATTTCACAAAATGAATTAGGACTACATAACTGTAATTTCTAGGACCCGGGGTTGCCTAGGAGAAGCGTTAAGGTTCCATATGTTTCTGCAGATGTTTAACAAAGTCTGTGATCAGCCTTTTTCCTGGTGTAGTACTTTACTGCATGGGTGACCCTACCTGTCTGAGAGTGGACCATTAAACCCAGTAACACAAACTCACCATGAAGAATTCTTTAGTCGAGCCTGATTCCAAAGTGCCATAAGCAATGTCTGTCTGCTTGGCCAGATCCTCTGCACTCTCAATGGGGGAAACCATCCTCTCCACAGTGAGGAAGGCAGCCAGATTAGCCGTGTAGGATGAGATGATGATGAGCGTAAAGAACCACCACACTCCCCCTACGATCCGTCCTGATAACGATCTTGGTGAGAGAAAGGAGGGAGGTGAAAGAAAGAAAGAGGATGAATATTGCAGGGACAGTGTGGAAAGATTAGAAAACAGAGGGAAATGCAGAGAATGGACAAAGGACAGAAGGAAGTGCCAGAAAGGAAAATAATCATAGGAGTGGTGTAAAAGGTAAAATCAGAAAAAAGAGGAGAGTGAGATAAAAAAAAACAAACAACAACAACAAGGAACAGTCATGTCAGTGTTGGAAAATACAGTGAAAGTAGATAATTAAAATGAAATATGACAGAGTAAAGCATGGGGAGACTAACCTCCACTGTGAATACCAAAATGTTGCTGTGCTACCACAAGGTGGAGCTCTGACAACACTCAAACCTTGTTAATTCGCTGCTCAGGAGCAGCGGAAGGTCGTGAGGAGAATCTTAAACTATAAATGCTGCATTGAAGAGAACAAACATGATCTCCTCTTGGTGCAAATCAAACAGCAAAGGATACAAACCCCTCAGGCCTCCCTGTCAGATGGAGAGAGAGAGCGAGTTGGGGACATGAGGAGGGGAGGAGAGAGGCATTTGAAACAGGCAGTGTTTTCTTGGCTGGTAATTCCACTGTGTCTTATTGCAATTTGGCCATATTCCATTGTTCCCAGTACACACAGGACACTTTGTTCTCAGTGTCCTGTAAAGTGTATGCATTTTCACGGTTTACAAAAACAGTAGTAGCCTCCTGTTCTCCTCAGTTGACTCCACACACGGTAAATGAAAAGGCAGAGCCCAGTGCTTTGGCCTATTGCTCAAACACTTGGAAAAGTCATAATTACCAGCATGTCCGTGCAGATTCTCAGTCATCCACACAATGCGACGCAATGAAAGTGGGAGGCAATTACCAGCAGCTCTAAAGAATCTTTAGGGCATGTTATTTTATTAAATCCCACAGTTTTGGCAGCACAGTTACTACACGGAGCCGTCACTACAAAGAATCACCTTTGTTTTGTCAGTCTGCACCAATGAAAGAGCCCATGAAGTCTGAGGCAAATTCCTATGGATAAGTGCTGCAGCAGAGCATGTCTCCTCCACACACACACACACACACACACACACACAGAGCTTTGCCAATGAAACAGACTTACTTGACATATTAGCTCTGGATTTGAATACAAATGGCTCTCTTTCTCTCCCCACACTCCACATTTTCCTTCCGGAGATGACTGAGAGCATTTCTGTGGCTTTTGAGCACAAAGACTGTAAAATAATGACTAAAGGGATGGAAGGTGTGCATGATAAGATGCGAGGCTGAATCTATCTTATCTCCGCTCTCACCTGCCTTATTCCCTTCTCCTACCTGCCAAATCCCTTCATTCTCACTATCAGACCATCTTTCTCTTTCTTTTTTAAGCAAGCAGCAGTGGACTGTGGGATCAGAGGAGGAGTGTCTTTTTGCCATCCCATCAACCCTCTGAGCCGTGTGTTTGCTGCCTGATACAGCCGACTCTGATCCACAGTGACACACTGCTGTGTCTTGATGGGCCTGCAGCAAACACAGGGGGACAGGGTGACAGAGGTTTAGTACTGGGAGTTTGGGTAATTTTTAGGCCACATCAGCATCTCCAGTGCATTTGTCTTTCTCTATTAACCTGGAACTGATGAGAACAATCCACAAGGCTAATTTTACTTAATACATTACAACAGTAAAGGACAGACTCATCAAAGGGTTGATCATTAGACTTCTATCATAAATATAGTTCATTTTCATCCACCTTTAATAAGCCAAAACCAAACATATCCACCAATAAACCTCAGAAATTGCTAATGAAAAACATTTGTAATCACATGAAATATTATAAGGACTACTGAATCATTTGTGTTATTTTAGTAATATGTGCTTATAGGTTTTTATGCAATATACTGTAAAGTGCTGCAAAACAAGTGGAACATATCGTTTCACTGCTAAAATGTGGAAGGTGCAGTTAAAACTTGAGAAAAACAGTGGGAAGAGCTTGACTGTGATGTATGAGCTCCGTTTTTGTTCAAGCAGACGAAATGAGAGGAACAGATGGGGAAAGTGTTGGAAAAATAAAGCTGAAACAATATAAAAATTGCCTCCAGTAGTGGTGGAATGGGATTCTCAACAACAGCCCAGCAAGCCTCAGGGTACAAAGATTACTGAATATAGAAAAAAATGAATAAGTTCACTTTTGTCCTATTGGTTAACTTGCCTAAGTTAAATTAATTTGTATTTGTTCAGTGTCTATGTTTGTCTAAGTTACATTTCAGCACTCATCTGCAATAATTTATGCAATTAACCTCTACGTCAAAGAACTGAACAAGACTGTGAACTGGAAACTTATTGTACATAAGGATCATCTGTGAAATCCCAGCTCAACATGTAATTTACCAATTTAATCAATTCATTTACATCCTCTTCTACCCAGCCCAACCAAAAAAAAAAAAAAATACTCGTGTTGTGTGGCTATGTGTTGATCAGTCCTACTGAATTTTATTTTAAATGTGAGTCTAAAAATTACACCTGACAAACAGACCAAATAGGAATGATACTGTATTTCCTTATGGTGCATCTATGAGTCCAGTGGGCAGAGCATTAGCCTCCCAACCAGAGGGTCAAAGGTTCGAATGTCGGTGCCTGCAGTCCACATGTCTTGGTGTCCTTGGGCAAGACACTGATACACCCCCCCCACCACCACCAGATGGCTGCCTCGGTTCTGTAACGAAAACAAATTCCTTGTGTGTAACATACTTGGCCAAATAAAGGTGATTATTATTATTATGCCACCAGAAAAATGTGGCTTGGGTTTAAATATTTCACAGAGTGTCACATTGCTTTATTTTCTGAAGTTGGAACCACTGAAAAGGAATTTTAGTGGAAAATAAAGTTCAGGGGCTTAAATGAAAATTCAAAGACAAAAATCTACATCAAAGTAAAGTGAATGTCATCTCTCTCAGATTAAATACAACACGGTTCATGTTGATATCAGTGAGCAAACTATCTGCAATACAGTGATATGAGGAAACTTTAAAGTCCCCCCAAGCTCATATTCCCTATTTCCCTCTTTTTATTTCCTCCAATGAGGAAAAAAAAAACTGAAAATAAAAAGGTGCTGTCAGGGATGATTTGATGCCAAGTGTGTGTAGGTGCTCCACAGGATTTGAGGAATGCTAGTGGGACAGAGGAAAAAACGAAATGCAGCCACATGAAGTGAAGGAGGTGAAGAAGTGAAAGATGTGGAGAGAGAGAAAACAGCTCTGACCTTGAGCAGAGCCTAAATAAATGAGGAGGTGCTGGTCTGCTCCCAGGGGAATACCTGAGGCGAGACCACACTGTTTGACTTATTCATAGCAGACAAACTGCCACTTCAATCTTCTGTCCTCAGCCTCACTCCTCACCTCAGCTGCAGCCCAGATATAAGATAAAAACCTGTGTATTACTCTAAATTTGCAAGCAAAAACAGATAAAGCAAGGTCACTAATAAAGGCTGGCTGGAATTGGCTTTACTCTAAATGCACAGAACTTATTCCATCAGCACAACATCATACTCAGTTCTACACTCACTACTCTGCTCTTTTTAACATAAGTACATTTGTTTAATTATTCCAAATTACTTCATGTCTTCCAATCACTGTTAAGATACTAACAATTAATCTCAGCACTTTGTGCACATTTATCACATTTAAAGCCTATTACAAAATGGGAAAATTGGACGCTTTTGTGCAGGAAGTGTTACGTTTAATTGATGGTCACTTAACCACAATCAAAAAAAATCTTCAGGCAAGAAGCAAGTGGAGATTAATGGTGAATGAAAACAATTATTTCTGTCACAGATAAGAAACTGCAGAGCAGCAGATTTAGGAGTATGACGTGACTATAGTTGCACTGTGGAACAGTGCTGAATTTATCCTGAATTTATCAAGACAACAAATAAACATGGAGGAAGCTCTGAATTTGCACCCACAGCAAATTTCTGATATGTTGGCAGATCAGAAAACTTCAGAAGGCTTCTTATTAAAATATGATTACCGTATATACACTTAAAAACACCTAAACGTATGTCTTTTATATAAGGCTGTTTAACATAAAGGTGGTGTTCCTTATGGAGCTGAAATGAACTCCAGACCACTGTTTGACATTTTGCATATTTAAATTCTTGTCAGCTTAAATGTTTAGATGGCTGACAGGGTGGTGACATCCCATCACAGTTAACCCAGGCTCTTAGTTGCAGAAATCTCTGCATTATGTCCAAAGATAGATGAGATCAAATCTGTAACATGTTCTCAAACACCTAAGATGACATCTATCTGTGCTCCTGGCAACTATAAAGATTGTATCACAAGTGGATCTGTTGTTTTGCATTCACGTTTTGAACATGTACTTTCCTACAGAGTCAGAGAAACCTTATAGATGTGTGGATGAAAAGCCAAAAACACATCATGGTTGAACACCCTCTTTTATGTGCAGCACTTAAGGAGCTATAAAATTCATACGGCCATTACTGTTCTATGCTGTATTATTGTAGGGTATTTGTAAACAAGTGGTTGGCTACTGTTTGTCGTTGCCCACCTCACTGATAAGCACATGTACGTAGTATAAAGAGAACCAGGAACCAGAAAAGGTTGAACCACTGTTCTAAAATGTTTTCAATAATAAGCAACTATTTCAGTGGGGACTCTTGCCATCACTGTTTCAACACCACACTGGTGCTTGACGTTGAAGCACACTGCTGTACATACAGTAGATGCAACTGGTGCCTCTAGCTGTGCCCATAATTTGTAAGAACAGTGCAACAAATCAACCAACTGTGAAGGACAATCACTGCTGACATAAGCAATAAGCGAAGCAGCAGTACAGCAGAGTGTTAGCTGAATTATAAAGCTATTTGGCATTGTATTAACAGAATAATAGAAATCTTGCATACACACCACTTGAAATTAATTTCTCCTCTTAAAATAGAGCTTTTGATGACCTAAATTCACAAGTCAAATTAAAAGTTATGCTTCGTCTGCAGGCATCAGGAAATCTGCCATCAGTATGCATGAACTCTGAGCTAATCAGCACTAATCAAGCAAATCACAGCATTCTCATTAGCTCACCAGAGATGTGGAAACTATGACTCAACGGAAGAGACAAAGATGATCCATCTGAAGCAATGAGACGGAAGTGACTGAAGACACCTGGGCCAGCCAATCACACCTGTGTGGAGTGGCAAACTGCTGTCTTGATATTTATATTGATACTTCCTGAGCTGTGATGTGGCATCCTGCAGTCTCAGGAGAAACACCAGAATAATTTAGTCAATTCATTAGGGATTTGTAGTCAGTTAAAACAACTATCATGTTGCCATTTCATTTAAGCTCCCCCCTTCGATTGTTTCCACTAAGATATTACAATTGGAGACTGGGTTATTAATCACTGAATTAACATTATGGGCTGCTTTGAGAAAGCAGATGGGTGTATTAAGCCTTATTAAAAGAGAGAGAGAAGGAGTTGAAGATGTTCTGTGCTACTGTATTTCAACCTCTGGCTTTCCTGCTGGAGTTGTATCATAAGTAAAAACTAGAATTACCATTTCGTGGACATGTGCCTCCACCAACCAGTTAAATACACGGGTATGGAACAAAAGTGAGGTCAATGACCTTGACCTTTGGCCACCAAAATCTAATCAGTTCATCTCTGAGTCCAAGTGGACACTTGTGCCAAATTTGAATAAATCCCCTCAAGGCGTTCATGACATATAGCGTTCACAAGAATGGGGCATACGGACAGATGGACAACCCGAAAACATAATGCCTCAAGCCGCAGCTATCACTGGCGTGGAGACATAAAAAGTCATTTAAAAAAAGCTACATGAAGATAGATGAATATAGGAGAATCACATTTTTCTAGGTGAAGCGAACCACATGAAGCATAGCTGACTGAACTAGCATAGTGAAAAGTGAAATTAGGGAGACCAGGACGCTGAATGGAATCTCTCTGTAACTGTCTTTCACTTTAGATCACTAGCGGTAACTTGTAGATTGTCTATGTAAACAATGTTGCTCATTGTGATGAGCCTATAAAGAATTCTCATCTGAACCTGCAGCTCCCTTCGGCTTTATGGAGCTCTGTAGAGAGTCATAGCCCATTATTTGTCTGTCTGGATCACAACTTTTCTGTCTTGGTACAATCTCTCCGCTCTCATAGTCTTTAGCCACAGCAGGAAGCCGCTGTTTTTAGAGAAAAAGCTCTAACAAGTCATTGTACTCTACCTGCTCAGAGTCAAACAGCAGATAGACTGGCTGGTGAACATAACTGGAGCATTTAGAGCTCAAGTATTTCCCTCCGGAGTTGGTAGAGACAAAAAAAAATAAATAAATAAAAAATAAAAATCACCAGAACAAACAATCTTCTGGATGAAACCTAAACCTAAACCAAAACTTGCTCCTATAAAGGCCATCTTAACCTGTTTCAAGTGACAAAATCTGGAAATGATCTGTACAGCTCATGAAGTTCTTATGTAGTCCAGTATTGTGGTTGAACATGTAGACTATCAAAAGTTTCAGACACTGTGTTGCCATGACATCTAGCCATCTCCCGATTGTAACATATGACTGAGCACTGCAGCCCTCGGCACAAATTCATCCTATTCACCTCTGTGCCCTTGTCTCTCCCTCCACGTGGTCTAATCTCCCCTGTGTGAAGAGATTTGCGTGTTTCCCTGTCAGACTACACTGGAGTGGAAGGGCTCCTTAGCTCCAGGGCTCTGTGCTGATGGATTGGAAGAGGCCCATGGGATTAGCAGTGACAGTGGAAAGCAGTGGGAATCACAGCCAGAAACAGAGAGGGCTGAAATGTTGACTTTTCATTCTGATGTGGCAGGCAGGGGTGGTTATGGTGGTGGGTGGGGGTGGTCTGCGCACACGTGAACAAAGCAAGTGCACTCCTTAAATGGGTGTGCTTAATCACAGGCACGGGGCCACTTTAGTCTCTTCTATAGGTTGCTTACGTGAAGCCAGGTATAATTTTGAAGTCGCTCTAATGTACCTCGGGATCCTCCATCTTGTGTGTTTCTCTGTTCTCCTCTGGTGTGGGGGCGGCTGAAAGATACAATCTGGTTTGGTCCTCCTTTCAACTGCTAAAATCTTACCAACTCTATTACAATACAAGATCTATAAGGGTTTTTAAACAAATACAAGAAGTATTACATGAAAGACTTAAAATAACTATAGGAGCAATTTTAGCAGTATCTTAAAATAACTCAAATAATCCATCTTCAGGAGCTTTAAACTTGACAAAGCCATTCAAACAGCTGCAATGGCTTTACAGAAAATGAGAAACAATTAAGAATTACAGGCTTTACCAGTCTATAGGTTTCACCATATGCCAGCAGAGACAATGTCATGGTGTGATGATGGACAGGACGCCTGATGTTTGATTGAAAAACAAAGATGACCAGTCCTTAACAGCTGGAGAAGAACACACAGTAAACTGCACAAGCCCCAATTCTCCACCCTTCCACCAAAGTATGCCCTTGCTTACTGCACACCAGCAGCCTGGTCTGAAGCCCAAGGGATGCTGGGTTAATTTGGACAAAAGGGAAGAGATGTCACAGACATGGTGAAAGACAACACTTTGGCAGTGTGTTCTTAATGAATCGCTGAAGTTTCATACTATGGAGCAGGCACAGGGTCTACACAACCATGATTACTAATGTAACTGGAACTCAAATACAAAGACATGAGGCACACAAACGCAAAGCCACAACTGCCAAAGCTGACAGACATGGAGACAACCTATCTACCTTACAAGCACACAACACAGTGTATGCAAGTCAGCAGAGAAGAATATATGCCTGGGTGTGTGTGTGAGAGAGAGAGAGATGCACACTTTCTCTCTCACACAAACACACCACACAACTAGTGTGATGCCACAGTTCACAGACAGGTACAGTATGTACTGTACACGGCATGAGTGACTCTCAGTGGGGTGCAACACATAAGACAGTAGCTAACAACACAAAAGACAGCACTTGATACCTTTATATTATACATTTAAATTGCAATCCCCATGCAATTACCAGTGATATTCTATATACAACAGGTTACTGTGCTGAAACTTACATAAACATTACAAACAGACTTCAGATGACAACAGGTACACTATCACCATGGCAAGTTAAAATATCATATATATAGACATTGGAAACAAAGTTATGAAATAAGTTAAATATCTTTTAGTACAGTTACATGTAGCTGAAAAAAACAGTTCAGCTTTTTTGGGAAACATGCTTATTTGTTTCACTGTGAGCTGGACTGACTGATATAAATCTAATATCTGTGGAGATGGGATGGTAAGCTCAGCACAGAGACTGACTGGAAGCAAAGGGAAACATTTAGATTTGCCAGAGTTCAAATAAATACTTACAAACACCTCTAAAGCTCAAATTAACACATCTTGTTTTGTAGGTACTTTGTGTTTTCACAGCATTGTTTTCCTGAAAAAGTGCACCGGTGTTGTCACACTGGTGACGTTTTCTTAATTGCTTGTTTTTGTCTAGTTGCATGTGTTTTCTTAAGCTGTAATGTACCTATCAGTTATGGACTGTTTTCCATCACATATTCTACAGATACACACACGTTATACATAATATGGGTGAATCGGAAACCATTGAATTTGAGACTATTAGTTTTTACTGCCAGTGATAATTTAACATGACAAACAACATTTTCCCTCTTCACTGTCACCGTATAGTGACATGACTTGTCCAGTTTCGATTTGTGTTAGTTAAACGTTTGATATAGTGATAGAATAAATAATGAAGGTCTGAAGTGGATTGGCAGACCAGGGGTTCAAGTACTGACTGTCATCTGTATGATGACCCAGACTAACACAGATACAATCTCACCAGATGTGATAGCACGTTGTAATTTTAATTGGCACAGAGGTCATGTAATGCCTCTCCCCACCTGAAGAAAAAAGCTAAAGGAGCATCAGCGAAACTTTGTAGCAAATATTGAGCAACTTCTTTGACAGTTAAATCAAAGTCTGGCTTACCTGGGGGAGATATCACAGCCCTGCTGCATAAAGGCGCCCAGGGAGAACCAGAGGGAGTTGAAGATGCCAAACTCATTGGGGGGCTGGTCATTTGGCGGACTGTCGGTGCCCTCTTCAGGCTCCTCAGTGTGCCATTCGTACGGGCTGAAGCGGCTGACCAGGAAGAGCACCACGCTCACACCAATATAGGCAAACACAATGCACATCCAGATCTCGTAGGCCAAAGGGTCCAGGAAAGAGAACACCCCTGGTTTGGATTTCTGGGGCTTCTTGATCATGATGGAAATGCCCAGTGACATGAAAGGCTTGGAGAAATCAATCACCTCCTCCCGGACCAACGTGATAGTCAAAGGGGCCACAGCGATCTCCGCTTTCTGTGGGGATTTGGATGAAGAGGAATTTGATTAGCTGTCAAATGAGCCTCTCTGAGAATAATTCTACATATAAATGATGGCATATAAACAGATGCAAATTATGGATCATCTCTGAGCTGTGCCATACAACAGTCGAACACCACTTAGTCACAGATCTGATATTCTGAAGGCCAACAGCCCAGCCATCAGAAAACATAACAATTACCCCATTTCTTCTTTTTCAGTTTGTGTTATCTTATCTGAATTTCTCCCTTGACTGATCAAATCTCTGACTGATCAAGTTAGGACGGCGGCTGAATGCATCTCAGTGTGATCAAGTTAAGACAGAGACAGGAAAAAAAAAGAAATCAAAAGAAATTCTGAAACCCCCTTTGAGTCTGAGAGGCTTAGCTGAAATTGGAAGAATCAGCAGGGAGGATAAAATAATGTGTACGAAAAATATGCTTACAGCATAGAAAGGCAAAAATGGAATACAGACACCTCTGAGGTCTGCAGCTGTGGAGAAGTGCATACTGGCTTGTTGAAAATCCACAAACAGATTACAGTTAGCAATTTAGCAACACTCATGACCTTGTCTGCTTGGACTGGGAGCAAAGGCCTTAACACCAGCAAGAATTTAAAGTTTCATTAAGGCCATCTGACACTTTAGGAGGTAAGAAAAAAGAAAACAAGCGAGGGAAAGAAAATGAAAGAGTCTTAAGTTCATCCTCAGAAAACTGCACTAAGATGACAGCCTTCGGGCATTTAGTGTGTACTAAAATACTTGGCAGGTTAAAAGGAGGCAGGGTTTTGTGGTAGTGCAGGGCTTTTCAGGGAGCCAGGAAGAACTGAATGGCCTCTAAGCAGTCAAAGATGAGAAAATGCTGAGAGCTTCCATGTCCTCAGATGTTCCCATGAACGCTGCAGTTTCGCTTGTGCCCCCAGTCACACACACTCTATAGTTCAGTTCTGGTTATACACACACTCACACAGATCCTGGCATTACTGGACTTATGAGAATCTTCCACTGAGTCTGTGCATTCTGTCTCACCTGAGCTTTGCCCCAGATCTTGTTTTTATTCATAAACCTTTATACTTTGACCCTTAAAGTAAGCTCCAAGTAATATTGTAAAAAATTCAGCATTTTTTGAATCCACCATACAATATGACTTCAATTATTCACGTTTCCTAATTTTCAAACAGCTTTGGTTAATCTCAAAAGGTAAATATGCAACACTTCAATATTTCAAAATAATAACAGACTTTGAAAGGCAGATGAATGAAAGTAGTGTAAAACATGACAGCTGTACTTAGACAGAGCATGATGTCCATACCTATGTTTTTCTCTTCCTAGGGTTTATGTTAAAAGTATTTTTTTCCAGTCAAAGCAACACTTTTGGAGAGGATGTGTTTCCATTCGCACTGCTTGTTAAAAAGATGAAAACAGCAAATAGCACAGCTGCACTTTTTGTTCCCGTGCTTTTAAACAACTTGGTTAGTCTTCACACCAGAAGTGCGCTGTACAGCTTGATCAGTCCTGACACATCCCGAACTGCAGCCGACTTGACGATGAGTCACTGCAGTACCAAAGAGGTGCAGGCGAGAAAAATGCCACTTTGTGTAAATGCCATTCGCGGCATCACAAAAAAACAAAACCGGAAACACTGTGGTTCTCTTTTTTGTCCAAAGAACTGCATATTTTAAACAAATTACTACTGTGGGTCATACAAACACAGTAAAATGTCAGACATTTATTGATGAAGAACATTTTTTGGATTTTTTACTTAAACCGTTATTGAACCTAAATACATAAGGGGTAAACAGCTTCACTTTGAAGGGTTTTCAATATTTTTCTCCCCCAAAATATGCCTCTTTCTTCACTTTGATGTGGCTCTGATATCTGAGCATCATCCCAGATCACATTTTTGCATCGTCTCTGATCCCACAGCAAGGTTAGCAGCAGACAGCTATCTCACCCCTAAATCAACTTGTCATCTCACTGATTCTTTAACAAGCCGTACACCTCTGCCTCTCCTCTTTAACTCTTCCAAAACCTAATGTTACACTAATTCAATTCTTCCTGTCCATATTATTACCACCAGAGACTGCCAGTCGGTTTAGTTTCATCTCAGATGGGTGTAATTACAGTATCTAAACAACAAGACATGTAGAGTATTTTATGTGTTATAAAACTTATGATTATTGATCAAATATTGGCCCTGGGCAATTATTTACTTTAACTGCAGGCCTTGACAACATCGTCCATGTTCACCTGCTGTCTTGATACATTCTGAGAAATGTACAGAATCTTGATGTACGGCCTTACATTGACAGCTGTCTCATACCCACCTATGAAACTGTGGTTAAGCTACTGCCAATACCCTTAACACTGCACAGACGTTTCACATTAAAAGCCTCCCAGTGGTTCAAAGGGCCAGTTCCTAGAAGGTGTTTAATTTGAAACATCTGTAGAAAAGGTTGCTCCACTGATGGCAGTTTAACAGTGATAAAATAAGACTAACAGGCTGTTCATGCACATTCACTAAAAAGCTGAGAGAACGATGGGCTGCTATTCATTGTGAATGGGACCTGGTGCTGCAGCCTGGCCCTCCCTGACTAGCTACAGGAATTTTAAAAGGCATATATTTCCCAGCAATACATGCAACTGAGATTTTCAGTCTGCCATTATTAAACTCATGCTGGTTACATGGCTAATAAAAAGCAGAGTGGTGAGTAAGAATGAATTCCATGTTGTACTAATGGAATTAGTGGTGTGGGAATGTACATCATGCTATAATTAGCATGTGAGCTACAGTAGCAGAGTACAGGAAAGTTTCCCTCCAGTCGCTATACAGTCTTATGCAAAAGTTTAGGCACCCCTTGATAAATAACAGATTTTGGTGATTTTTTATTTGAACAGATGTTAACACAGTTTCTCCTGGAAATGGAAAAAATGCACAATATTTTCTGCAAACAGTGATGCATAGTTACTTCTTATGCCATAAATTGAACAAAAATAAAAAATAAAAACATTATTATGGCATGGTGCAAAAGTTTGGGCACCCTAAGAGTTCCAGAGTCTCAAAGTCTCTCACAAGGTATCAGACCTTAATCAGCTCGTTAGATCTGATGCACAGCAACAGCTGTCATTGGTAAATGCCAATTTCAAAGCTGTACAAATACTTTGACTCTTCAAACCTTGTGCACACACTTGTGGACACCCAGCAACCATGGGTTCCTCTAAGCAGCTGTGTAAGACCCTGAAAATGAAAGTTATTGACGCCCACAATGCAGGAGAAGGCTACAAGAAGATAGCAAAGCGTTGTCAGCTTGCAGTTTCCACAGTAAGAAATGTAATTAAGAGATGGCAGATCAGGGGAACTGTGGAGGTCAAGATGAGATCTGGAAGACCAAGAAAACTCTCGGACAGAACTGCTCGTATGCTGGTCAGAAAGACAAATCAAAACCCCCATTTGACTGCAAAAAACCTGCAGGAAGATTTAGCAGACTCAGGAGTGGTGGTGCACCGTTCCACTGTGCAGCGATGCTTGCACAGACAAGGCCTTCATGGAAGAGTCAGCAGAAGAAAACCTTATCTGCGTCCCCATCATAAAATCCAACATCTGAAGTATGCAACAGGACATCTACAGAAGCCCGATGCGTTTTGGAAACAAGTGCTGTGGACTGATGAAGTTAAAATAGAACTCTTTGGACACAATCAGCAAAGGCATGTTTGGAGAAAAAAAGGAGCAGCATTTCATGAAAAGAACACCTTGCCAACTATTAAGCATGGGGGTGGATCTATCATGCTCTGGGGTTGTGTTGCAGCCAGTGGCACAGGAAACATTGCACGGGTGGAGGGAAGAATGGATTCCACTAAATACCAGCAAATTCTGGAAGCAAACATCACACCATCTGTAAAAAAGCTGAAGCTGAAAAGAGGATGGCTTCTACAACAGGACAATGATCCTAAACATACCTCGAAATCCACTATGGAATACCTCAAGAGACGCAGGCTGAAGGTTTTGGAATGGCCATCACAGTCCCCTGATTTAAACATCATTGAAAATTTGTGGGTAGATCTTAAAAGAGCTGTGCATGCAAGACGACCAAAGAATATTACAGAACTAGAAGCCTTTTGCAAGGAAGAATGGGAGAAGATCCCAAGTACAAGAATTGAAAGACTTTTAGCTGGCTATGAAAAGCGTTTGCAAGCTGTGATATCTGCCAGAGGAGGTGTTACTAAGTACTGATTGTGTAGGGTGCCCAAACTTTTGCACCATGCCATAATCATGTTTTTATTTTTTATTTTTGTTCAATTTATGGCATAAGAAGTAACTATGCATCACTGTTTGCAGAAAATATTGTGCATTTTTTCCATTTCCAAGAGAAACTGTGTTAACATCTGTTCAAATAAAAAATCACCAAAATCTGTTATTTATCAAGGGGTGCCTAAACTTTTGCATAAGACTGTATGTTTGTGTAGACCACTGCTTTTTTGAGAGTTGGCCATAATGCCACCTTTAATTTGTGAAGCTATTTAACAAGTGTAGAATTGTAATATATTGTCTACCTGTCTTTATTGTGGTTCACATGATTGTTCTGTTTACTATAGCTTGCTTACAGTCTGAATGAATAAAGTCAACTTTGATGAGTAATTTCTGGTCATTTCCAGCTTTGAGAAATTTGAAAACCAACTTTTTCAGAAGCCAAGAGCTCTAAAGTCAAAGTGTTTATTTGTCATGTGCACAGTTAGGAAATGTGTTTCCCTGTACAATGAAATTCTTACTTTGCCGTCCACATGAATGCCACAAAATACAAAAGAAATATAATGATGAATAAGTAACACAAAATCTAAGATACTTTAAGCAGCAAATGCAGAGATATAATAAAAATATATAAGAATATAATAAGAGAATGTATGCTGCATGGGTCAACAGTCGACAGCAGTAGTCAACAGTCAATGTGCAATTATGCATGTGCAAACAGAATGTAAACAGTACATTATGTACAGTATTTCCTGGTAATAAACTCCTGTCAACTGTTTAGGAGTCTGATGGCAGAGGGAAAGAAAGAGTTTTTCAGTCTAGAGGTCCTGCATTTCACACTTCTGAACCTCCGGCCAGAGGTTCTGAAGCCTCTATATGTACAGTAAGTGCTAATAGATTGGAAAAAGACAGAACTGTCTCTAAGCACCATCATGAATCTTGCTGACAGCATAAAAGTTTAAACGTATTGAGCCAGCTTAAATGAAATTTCTGTCCAAAATAGTGCTCAAGGAAAATGGGAAAAGAATCACTTTTTGTCATCCAAAGAATGAAAACAAAGTTCTTACCCCGTACACCAGCTCCCCGACCATGCCATTCCAGATCTTTGTCACTTGGTCCCTGGCACCATACTTTCCATCGGGGACAATGGAGATCTTATACTTGATGCCGATGTGTTTGGCAATCTCTGAGGCCAGGTCCACACAGTATCCCTCAAACTGCTCATTGCCCTCGTATATCCCCCAGTTCTTCTTAAGCATCACATAGGGACCCTCCTACACAAGGGACCATAACCAGTGAACCAAACCATAAGACAGACAGACACACAGGCATGAGGGCTCACACAATGGCTCATCAACGCAAAAACAAAAAACAGAATGATGAACAGGAGCTGTAGCTCATTAATATCAACCAGGGTCAAATTTTTATGGTACTCTGTAAAGTTTTTGGCCACTATGAGTGCTTAAAGAGCAATGGTTGAATGAGTGAATCCCCATTAATGTGGATTAAAAGCATGAAAGCAATTTCATGGTATTTCACTGAAAAACATTTGATGGCACTAACATCCCTAGAAACAGAAATGCAGCAGAAGAGAATTACAAGATTGCAAACATGGATGTAAGCAATGTAAGCTTTAAATGTTTTTGTTTTGAAGGTTTTTGTTAGGCCCCAAACATTCGATAATAATTATTTATTTTAAACATGTTTACAAGATAATGGCACAAGAAATTTTTTCAGTGCTGAAGATGGAAAACATTTGTTTTATCATAAAACAATTTAAAACTGCAGTTGTATATGGCAGCTGGCTCTAAATACTACCATATCCAGGAGTCAGAGGTGCCACCGCAATGAAGATGCCAGTCTGAGGTGTGAATTAGAGGTATTTAGCCTGTACATCTTTTGTTACTGCACACTGGGACAAAACAGCTGCTAAATTTGTCAAAAAATGAATTCACTTCAGTAGCAAACAGCAAAAATACCCCATCAAATTTAAGTGAAAACAGTTCTGCTTGATAAGATAAAAAAAAAAATCATCTCCAGCTACCGTAAAACAAAATGACTTAAATCAGATTGGTGCTATTCTTGTTTCTTTCCTTGGAAGTCATGCAGTACCTACTGTATCTACAAGTATGTCGAGCTGGGGTTTGAACTTACAGCCATCACAAGATAGGACCTTTGTGCTAACCACTGAGACACCACATTTGATACCGAGCACTTAGCCATAGTAATGTTAATCAATTTGGTCCAAACTACTGATTTGCTGTGAAATTTGTAGCAACATCCATGCTTCCCCAGATGAGGTCTTTAAATAACAGGTAAACTCCTGGCTTTATCTCTGAGGTTGCCCTTTTTGGTTTTGAGAGAAATCTTTTGCGATAAAATTTGGTTTTCACTTGAAGATATAGGAACTGATTAGAGTTGTGAAGTGGGAGGGTAAAAAACAAAAATAATTTATTGTTGTACAACAGAAAGGGATGCATGTGTACTCATGCTATAGATACAGAACACAGGCAGGAAAAATCATCAGTGCTAATGTGGATATACTGTATGACACACAGACTCAAAGAGAAAGAAGGACAGTGTGACTAAGCAGAAATGGAGGCAGACATAATGCTGAAGGAAGTGAGAAATGAGCTGCAGTCAGACTGAATTACTTAATTCCTAAAACAAGCCTGACTCGACTTAAACGCTTAAAGTAATCAGAGATGGCTACATCAGTCTGACTATGACCTGTGGTACAGTACAATCATTACATTCACTGTTGCTCAAAAAATGATTAAATGTAAACCTCATCTGGCTTCTGTGCTCATATTTCCAAACAAATTACTTTTGTCATGGAAGGCAGCCTATTGCATATTGAGAACGGAAGCAATTTACTCTCAAGTTGTGTTTGCTTGACATTGCCGCAAGCCAAAGAAAGGTAAACCAAAGACTCATCAGCGGGGAGAGTACTGTATGCAAATGCATGGCTGAACCTGCAGCAAAACATAATGCAACTGTATAACAAAAATTATGGTGCAATTTAGCAGTTTCATGTCAAAATATAAGAACTACTATTGCACAAAAAAGTCAGTATAACAATTTGTAATTTTAACAAGAAATTAAGCTCAGTTTTTGCAGAAAATACACAACAGAATGGTTTCTTTACTTAGTTCTTCCTTTTTTTTTCTTTACTAGTGGGTTATGATACATCATGGCACATGAATATGTGCAAGATAAGTTGACAGGCTACAGTAATAACAAACTCACATAAAGATGAATGTTTTGTCATTAACTATAAAGTATACATCATAGTGGACTTCTGCACACTGTAGTTACTACACTCTGATCATTGCAGATTAAGAGCATGAAAAGCATGGATGGATTAATGCAATAGGAGGCCAGCGGCTATATGCCCCACCTGACTCCTTGTTCCTTCCTCACTCTGTGCACAGTTTAACAGACACACAGCAGAGTACAGATGCTATCTTAATCACATTTTGCTTAGAGCCCCAGAAACAAACCAGCACTCATATTGCAGAGTATAATCCTGACCTATCTGCTTGCTGTGTTTATTTTAGTCTGTGGTATTCTGATTTCACACACTAGGCTGCTTTTTCAGGACCAGGGCAAAGCAGCAGCAGGCTAAGAAGAATAGATGCTGGTCCGTCTCCCCAGCAACATTTTCAGGCTTTTCCTGGGCAGTCTCAAGGAGATCCCAGGCCAGATGAGATATGCCCTCCAGCAAGGTCTGGATATATTCTGGGTTCTCCTACTAGTTGAACATGTCAGGACAACCTCCAAAGGAAAGCACCCAGATGGGATGTTGATCAGATGCTCAAAGCCCTCAAGTGGCTCATTTCAACACAGAGGAGATCCACTCTACTCAGAGTTCCCTCCAGATGTATGAGTTCCTTAACCTATTTCTATGGGTGAGCCAGGCCACCCTACGTAGGAACCTCAGCTGCTTGTATTTCTGGTTTCATTATTTCAGTCACTACCTGAAGCTCCTGACCAGAGAAAAAGGTTGGATGTCTGGACCCCACAGGATGTCAGCTCCATGTTGTTCCAGTCAGCCAGATGCAGGCGCAGCATGCATCGCACGTTTATTTTGACAACATGGCAGAACACAATGTCAGCAGTCCAGAGATTTTTCAGCCTTCTAAGAGAACTAAGTCTGAAGTGTGGTCGTATTTTAGTTTTTATAATAAGAGAGCAAACCCAGTAATGCTAATGGTTCCTTGTCCTCCTCTACAAAAAAGTGCATAGTGCTGCTACTTTCACTTGTGTTTTTTGATCTAAAACCACAATATAATTACTTTAGTACCTTATCAGTATCAGTACTCCTTAAATATTTTCCAGCTAATTTTAATGACACCGTGATAATACTGATAACCATGCAAATTTTGGTCACTATAATCTTGATATAAAATTTTCATACAGTTTGATCTCTAGTCCATAACTTACAAACAATTCTCAAGGAGTTTCCCAGTATCAGGTCAACACAAGTGTAGTAACACACAGTGTTACTACACTTCAGTAAAATAATTCCATTTATTTGCTAGCCTAACTTAGAGCATGTTAGTCTTTACACTTTATACTTTGTCTAGGTCCAAATCTACAGTCCGATGACAAAGCTGATGCTGAGTCCACTGCTGTGCCTTCACTAACAAGGCAGGTGTGGGATAAAACCATCTTAGCTTAATCCAGTACTGAAACTAGGGGGCAACTAGCCTATGCTTGATGACAAACCAGCCTATTTCCCAAACTGCTGCTTAAAACACAGAAGCGACCTGGACGTAATATAACCCTGGCACACTTCATTAGGTTCATGCTAAACAAGCAATACTCTCATGAACACACCAAACACACATTAAAAGCAGGAGTAAAAAGCAGCAGTCACATTGTAACTATGAAATCATGCTGCATAAAAGTATGATGGATATGAATTTGGTGATTATGGGAGCATTAGTCTTTCTAAGCTGTTTTAAGGCTTACAGGAAGCCCTCTGAATGTGTAACATACTGTAAAGTAGAGCAGGTAGTCAGAGAAGAGCAAATTTAGAGCAAACAGGAATTCAGTTATACATAATGTATATTCACATTATGACACCACCTCACTTTATAGTTCAGTGTATAGATTTCTGCAGAAATTACTAATTCAAACCCGTGATGAGGTTCAAGCTGTGACTGGCCACACAAACACACCGGGCATGACAATGTATAAATCTAACACAAACAGGTGTAGTGGGAGCTTGTTTATGCTAGTAAACAGATACTGCGCTGTTAGGAGTTGGGGACCCATTTTGCTTCAATAGGTGTCCATCCACAAGCACCATCCTTAAAAAAGACATAGTCTTTTCCCCTCCATTTGCATTTCATTTTCCTCTCGAGTGGCTCCATTTCTTGTTCAGATTCCCATTAACATAGTTGTCGTGTCTCCTCTTGCCCAGTGTCTTTAGGGCTTCATTTTGGCTTGTGTTGCTGTGTCCATCACTCTGCCATTAAGAGCTTTCATATCCCGCTTGCGTCCAACTGGGGGCTCAGTTTCTTAAAATGGGGTTCCTCATCAGGGGCTGAAAAGAGGGAGGATTGTGCTGAGCTGTGACTCTCCATTCCCACCTCCTTCTCTCCTCCACTCAGTTGTTACATGTATGCTCAACATCTGGCTGCTCTAATCTAGTCATCTATGTCAGAGTCAGTGTTACAGCCAGTGAGTCACATGCCATGCAAAGGCCATTCCTTTCTATCCTCAGTGTAAAGTGCTTTGGTTGATGTTGCAGCTGTATGGAACTCATTTCTGAACTCCTTTATCTGTGCAGTAAGAACAAAAGCCTCAATACTGGCAGCTGATTACAGAGCTGTTTACTTGTTGAGACGATTATTGTTGCAATAAAAGTGACACTAGTTGATTCTGGAGTTGTATGATGGTTTATTGAAGCTCTTATTGAAGTAATAAAATGAAAGCCCCTTTCGTTAAGAATCTCATGATGAACTGAACTGATAATGTATTTCTCTTTTCAGAACGATTGTGTGATCCCTGAACTCTTGCCGCTCATCGTACACAACATGCAGGCCTTCTAGGGTAGAAAAGGTTTCTGAAAATGATAATATGCATCCTTTGCAAACATCATCACTTCATAAGGATTTATGTGTGATGTGATGTTGGCTATTTGGTTACGTTGGTGGACCTTTAAATTGAGATTATTTTGTCAAACACAACACATCTTGTTGTTTGCCTCTGTATACTGTGCAGCTGAGGTGATACTGGTATTGCTACCCACTTTACAAAGGATTTTTTGCAGTAATAATGCAAAATGCTGGAGAAGCCTTTGTTCTTTGCTCTTAAGGCCAGCACCAGAACCACTAATTTTTTTTACACAACTTAAAAAAATCCAATTCTACTGCAGATTCAACACAGTACATAATGTCTGCATAGAAAGTAATACAAAAATACAGCACCAAATAAGACAAATTACCCAGGAATACAAGGTTAATTGGAAATAACTGTTAACCACGCTAGAGCTTAAAGACAGAGAGTAATGCAATAATACTAGTAAAGTGCTTTAAAAAAAAAGAGACATATCCACAGGACATTACAGTGCAGCTGTCCACCATGTCAGGTTAGGGAGTGTTAGGGATTTAAATGCAGGTTTTCATGTTGGAAGTAGAATGTATGTAGTCACTGTACCTCAGGCCCCAGCTCTGCTTAAGTAATATGTTCAGTGGAGCCAGCAGCAACACTAGCTAATAAAGTCTACTGGCATTACAAATGGCTAAGAATATGAGTGCATGCATGAATGTGTGTGTTGGTGAGCACATGCCGGTCTCTTACCATGATGGTAGTAACTACAACAGTGCGGTTCTCCATGCCAGAAGTGTCATTTGGAAGCAGTGGAGAGTCCTGGATCAGCACCAGTTTGTCTGCATCGTTCCAGTAGCCAATCTGTACGGAAAAGGAATTATGAGTCTATCTCATAGTGTGCATGTGCTCATGTGTATGTGCTGATATATGCCACCATTTTGGTGGGTGGACCCATTTTGTTTTGTGTAGATGAAACACTCTACTGGAAGATGCCGGTTTTGAGATCAGTGTTGTTGCTTCTTTTTGTCAAAAGCTATTTTTTGTTCAGCTGACATTACTGACTGACTGGAACTGGCAGACAGATATATTGTGGTCAAAAGTTCAGCATCTTCTGACTTCTGAAAAATGCAAGATAAATGGCACTGCTTGAGTGATATCTATTCGTCCATCCATTATCTATACCGCTTGTCCTGAAGAGGGTCATGGGAGGGCTGGAGCCAATCCCAGCTGACATTGGGCAAGAGGCAGGTCGGCTTGAGCAATATTTGATTTTTAATAAAAAGCCAATATGCATCTATAAATCAATAACAACTCAGATTGATACACTGACCTTCTACTAGACAGTAGCATCGACAGCAACCATAAGCAGCTGTAAGTCAGTGAGAAAGTGCAGATACTGAGTGAAACAGCTGGCTGCTAGTTGGCTGCTGCTAGTGGGAAGCCAGAAGGCATGAGGAGCTGTGATTGGTTAATACCTCCTGTGTGCTGGGGCATCAGGATAACTGAGGAACCCACAGAGGTGCACATACACACACACACCGTGTTTTGACAGGACCCTGACTGTGAACACGCAGACAAGCCAAAGCAGCTTTTGATTGGTGGGAGCACCTCTTTGCTTCCTCTAAACACCCAGCCCACCCCCCGCAACACCTTGATTACTCTCCATTTCATTTAATTTCACTCTCTCACCATCACTCTCACAAGTACTCACTCTCTCTTTTCTCCCATTTTCCCTGAGTTTCATCTTCACACATCCATCCTCTTATACCAGAAGTGATGCTGGACTCCTGCTTCCGCTAACAGAAAAATCCAACACTGCATATATTGTAACATCCCAGCCCCAGGACACTGCACGTGACAGGGGTTGCACATACTATATCTCTGATCATATCAAGGATATATTGTGTCAGCTACTGACTTGATCTGGACAAATATTCATCCATAACACAAATGAAAGCAGTGCGGTGTGAGGTTTTACCCGTCTGGGTCCATTATTCTTCAGTTCAAACACGTCCATAGTGTAGTTGACCCTGCGCCCATAGTGGTCAAATTGGACATTACCTGTTAATCCCTGCAGCCTGACCTGCACACGGATGAGAATATGCAAATATATACTTTCAGTGATGAAATACATGTAACAAACAGCAAATATTAGGAATTTATTTATAACTGAAAAGCTGAAGGAAAAACTGCTTGATATTAAAATCTGGCTAGGTCAATTTTCTACCAAAAATGTTTGTAATAAACAAACGCTTCACAAGGTGCTTTATAGTGACGAAAGCAAATCACTAAAAACAAAGAAAACAACAATGTATTTCAGTGACATTTTGTTCAGTAGGATCCTTAAAGTTGGGAAAATAAGTAAAATAGTAAACATCTTATTTTCTTACATTTAGATGGAATTTATAAAGAAAACTATAAGAAGGTAAGTAGAGGTAGAGAAGTCCATTCAACCAGTCAGCTTTCAAATATACACCAAACTTTTTGAGGGATTTAAAGGAACAGTTCAGCATTTCAAAAAATAAGATTCCCTCCAGAACTTAAAGTTTAATCCTGAATTAAGGGGTTATCCCCTCATGTCAACTATAAATGTATCTTGAGATGAGACAACATCAATTAATGTCAGTGTTTTAAGTATAGAGCTGGAGTCAGGACACCATCAGCCTAGCTCACGATAAATCCCACAAGCAGGGGGACACCTTGCATTTCATTTTAATCACCCTCTCTTCTTACTTGTTTGAGAGTACGCTCCATATCGATTCCCTGGTTCCACGGGGCAGCAGGGTTTGCGAGACAGTCCCCAGCATTTCTCCGTCTGAAAATGTCCACCTTCTGCCTGCGCAGGTTCCTGAAGGCCTCGGCCATCACCATCACCCCATCGTATGTCAGTGCTGAGGTGTACTAAGAGACAGGAGAAGGTGATTGAAGATGTAGACACAGTGGGTTTCTGAACATGGTTTTTCAGCAAGAAAAACAAAAACAAAAAAAAAAAACAGCATCAGTGCAGTAGCAATTATGGTTTAAGTTTGGCCTCTTAGATTTATTAAAAGGAAGTAAAAACCCAGTATTGTATTTCTGACTCACTAGACAAAATGTAGTGCAATAGTTGCTGGTCAGATCTCATTTAAAATAACCTGCATAAGCCTCCCTCTGAGAGCATGTAGAGTTTCTGCAGGGCCAAGCAGTATGCTGTAAAGGCATAGCTCTTGCAGAGAGGCAGCACTTTTACTCTTCTCATTATTGTCTGAGAATGGAAAGGTGGAGAAGGCGAGAAGAGAAGAGCATATTCCCCACAGGGTAAGTCTCCCAACTTCCCCTAATATATCTTTGACCTGAAGATCTGTGTTGCCTCTGATTATTTGCATTTACAAAAATCACTCTTTC